GATGAGAATGTGCTTAGTGAAATCAGAAAACACCAAGGAAGGGTAAGACCAGAGAGGGCTTCGTGGGGAGAGTGCAGAGAGCTCGTGGGGGCAGCACTCTCTAGCCGGATAAGCCAGGATTGCAGTGTGAGGGCCTCACTAGGAAGAGGATCCCCTCTGAGCAGGACATTTGGGGTTCAGGGGATGCAGGACTCCAGCCAGAGAAACTGAGAAAACCCAGCCCTTATGGTAGCGGGGAGAACCAAGCGACAGTAGTATCCCAAAAGCGAAAAGTGAGCAAGATGATTTTACCGTTTTGGAAGGGGGCATATTTGGGGACCCTACCCAGAAATGCTTAGGACTTACTCCTGGCTCTGCACTCAGGGATCACCCCCGGCAAAGTCCAGGGGACCATATGGGATGCCAGGGATTAAGCCCAGGACACCTGTGGGCAAGGCACGAACCCTACCCACTGTACTATTTCTCCAGCCCCCCAAAGTGTTTTTTGGGATCACGATCACGACCATCCTGTTGTTCGTCGATTGCCTCGAGCAGGCCCCAGTAACGTCTCCTTCGTGGTAGCCCTGAGATTTTTTAAAAAGTACATATTCAAGGCTCTTTCAGGGTTAGGAGAATGAGACCCATCATTGTTACTGGTATTTGGCATGTTGGGTACGCCACGGGGAGTTTGCCAGACTCTGCCGGGTGGGCAGGTTATATTCGGTAGCCTGCCAGTTTGTCCAAAGTAGGAATGAGATAATAAGATGTCGCGCGGCCACGAATGCGGCCGCACGCTTCCGGGAGCTGGGTTTTTTGGGAGGAAGATATAAATTCCAAGGGGCTAAAGGAAGTGTCAAGTCAGCTTTGCTCTTTCTTTTTTCCCAAAATGTATCCAAAGGCTGCCAGGGAATTTTATTTTTTAATATCAACTTCACTTTCATGGAAGGTAAGAGACAGCTGGGGGCGGGCGGGGGTGGGGTGGGGGGATGGAAAAATAACCCAGAGCAAGAAAACTCTGCATTAAGTATGGAAATAGGAGTCAAGAAGAAGCATGCTACACACCAGTGATAGAGTGGAGACTGGGAGAAAGTAGCGTCAGAGCAGATGGCATAGACCATACTGATTTGCAGGTTTGTCGCAAATGTAAGCTACCCAGACCAAGTGGTTCCCACTTGACTGTGGTCCAATTAATGCAAATAGCAGCTTCAGCGTCAGCATGTTAAAGTGATGAGAGGTGTTGGATATTAACCCTAAGTGTTTTAGGCTTCCTCAGTGAATAGCCCCTTTTCTTCCTCCCAGCGAAGCTTACAGTGCTCTCTTGAGCATCCCTAATCCCCTGAGTTTATCTTTGACCTTTCCTTTGTGTTTTACGTCTCATTGTCACAGTTCCCCAAGTCAGTCTTGGTTACTTATAAGCCAAGACTTTCTGGGAATTCTGGATTTTGTATTTGTAGTGAATTACTTGCTTTTCTGGGCTGGAGCGATAGCACAGCAATAGGGCGTTTGCCTTGCAAGCAGCCGGCCGAATGAGCTGGGTTTGATTCCTCCGCCCCTCTCAGAGAGCCTGGCAAGCTACCAAGAGTCTCTCGCCCACACAGCAAAGCCTGGCAAGCTACCCCTGATGTATTCGATATGCCAAATGCAGTAACAACAAGTCTCACAATGGAGAAGTTACTGGGCCCGCTCGAGCAAATTGATGAACAACGGGAGGACAATGCTACTTGCTTTTCTACTTCCTCGATAGTCTTTTTCATATTTTACTATAGAGCAGTATTCTTTGATTAAACACAGGAAGACCTTAATGCCATGCGCCTAATGTTTGGGAATTGATTGACTCTGAGATAGATCTACTCCTGGGCATCCGTCATAATTACTTGACTCAGGCTTTGATTGCTGTAGTTCCTAACATCCCAAAAGGGAGGTCCTGAGTTGGACCCAGGGTGAGAGGCAAAGCTACCCTGGCATCAAAATAGGACAGCATAAATGCCTGGTCTTGATGCAAGCTGTTATGACTTAAGACAGGACCTCCATGGGGAAGGACAAGCTGAACTGGCCTGAGGACTTAGTCTGGGATTTACGGTAAAAGCCTCTCTTGCTCTCAGAGCCCAGAGAACTAAATCTGGGATCTTTATCTCTTACTGTGTTTATCCAAACGACTGCAAGTATTGGTAAGAAGTAGAATTAATTGTTTGACTAATTGTCTGACTTAATTGTTTGATATATATGACTGGGAGGAAAGAGAAAAGCAATATAGATATCCCGGGGAGACAGAGAGTCTCCTTGAGTTTGTCTCCCCCAGAGAATTGCCTCTGCGGGAATGTTTTACCTCTGTAAATCACACGGACATGCAGTCCTATACCTCTGACCCCTTCAGATGCTCTATAAGCATGCTAGCAGCTCTGCATTAAACGGGCCATTTCACCATCAGGCTGTGGTCCCCTTCTTTCTGTCTCTCTGCTGGGGAGTCCTGGGGAGGGCTGGAGGCAGCTCTCAGCCACCAAACGCATGCATCATCACAGCACCCCCACATGCTTTGTGAACTCACAAGAGGTTTTGGGGTTTGTTTTGTTCTTTGCCCCTGGGGTGATGGCACTCCTGGAAGTCATATAGGCTGTGGGTAGGGTTAAGTCCATGGTATATGCAAACTAAATCCATGAGAGCTTTGTTTGTGGACTAGCGGCTGGAACTTCATAAAGGACACAATTAAATATCCTGGAGTGATGGAAGCCTTCAGCACTGTAAATGTGGAAAACAATTGCTTGACTGTGGATTCTCAATGTATATTTAAAAATCTAATATAAATTCCAAGTCGTTTTCCCTACAAGCTTATTGGCTTCCATTAGCCTTATCTGCTACAGAAAAGTCATCTGTTTTTAAGCTTACAATTGATGTTCTTGCATAAAATAACAATAGCAGAGAATAACAATAACCAAGTGCTAAAAAATGTGAGACAAAAACAAAAACTAATAAAGGCCCCAGGGACAAACTGGGGTGCTTGGTTTCTCCCGGAAAGGAAATATAAAAGAGGAAGAGCCCATGATTCAAAGTATAATTTAAAATGGTGTGACAGAGAACTAACTGTTGGTAAAGTAAATGATGGCCTCAGACAGGGGAAAGTAGGCTTGCCAAGTCACACGATAGATATTGATTAACCAGTAGAATCATATTATAGCACCAACAATCCAAATACGCACACGCATGGACAGATAGATGACCTGATGCTTTATTATCTACAGCACAGTACCCTACCGATGCTAACCTCTTGGTTCTAGAAATTATACTATAGCACCTTAATTCTCTTAGTAAGAGGTATTATTCCTGGGAAATTGACTTGAAACCCAAAAAAGGGGTCACCAGGCTCTACTGGATCCTGTCGCAGGCAAGGTTTGTCCTCTGCACACTCTTTGGATATTGTTCTTCTGTACATGCTATGTAAACTGATGAGATCACAACTCTAGGACTGATCTCTAGACCTTAAGAAATGATTTGCTCATAAATTTCATTTGGAGTCTGTGGATAGAAGGGAGGAGGAAGAGGAGGTTGGGAGCGTGTATAGTGGATCAAGAATCCCACTATGGTATTAACATATGCCAGAGGGGAAACTACGGTTCTAGTCTCTGATTTGCCTCCTGACCACATCCTTTGCTCTATTATTCCCCTTAATGGCCCTTCACTTTTTCTTCTGTCCCTAATCTTTTGGGGGCCCACACTCAGTGGTGCTCATGGATTACCCTGGCTCTGCATTCAGGGATCATTCCTGGCAGGCATAGGGGACCTTATGGGTTACTGGGGATCAAAACTGGATTGGTTGTGTGCAAGACTAACACTCTGCCCCGCTGTACAATCTCTCTGGACACGGTGTCCCTAATCTTTTTCCCCATTCTCTGACACTCCTTCCATCCTAGAAGTGATTATTTTCCTGACACACTTTCTTCTACTTCCCCACTCTTTATGTCATATTCCAAACTCTTTATCCACATAGAGGCCATAGTTGCATCAAGATAAAGCAACTTGTATTAATTTATTAACTTTCCCTTTTTCTAAATAGATGTAATGTTTGCCTTTGTTTTCATGTTAACAAACCAAGAGTAGCACTGTCCTCCTGTTGTTGATCGATTTGCTTGAGCGGGCCCAGTTAGATCTCCATTGTGAGCCTTGTTGTTACTGTGTTTGGCATACTGAATATGTCACGGGTAGCTTGCCAGGCTTTGCCATGCTGGCAAGATACTTTTGGTAGCTTGCCGAGCTCTTCGAGAGGGGCAGAGGAATCGAACTGGGCTCTGCTGGGTCGGCCACGTGCAAGCCAAACGCCCTACCCACTGTGCTATCTCTCCAGCTCAAGAGTAGGAAAAAAAATCTTCATAACAGCTCTTCTACCCCGGACTATAACTGAAACTCAAGCATCAACCCAAACATCGACCTTTGTATTACTCTATTCCTTAAGAAATGTATAGAGAGACAGAGAGATAGTGTAGCAGGTCAGGTACTCGCCTTGCATGCGGCAACCATGGTTCAAGTCCTGGCCCCTCCAGCATTCTCTGTGCCCAGAGCCAGGAATAAATAAGCCATGTGCAATGCCAAGTGTGTCCCCCAAACAAACAAAAATAGCAATAATTAAAAAGAAATTAAATAAGAAATGTATATAAATGTGTTAATATTTAAAATATTAATTTATTATTTTTTTCTATTTCTAGAAATCCAGAGAGCCAACCACATGGAAAGAAGCCAAGAAAAGAAAGATAAAGATTCAAGACAAACTCTATTTCTCAACAACCAGGAGACCAAGGAGAGAAATAAAACATTAGGAAAGGCTTTTAATATGACCATAAAACCTTCAGGAAAAATAGTCCACAAATGTGGCTGTCTTGGAACAAGTGTGTCCACAATAACTTTTAATAATAGAAGTCATGTAAGAAAAAAAGCTAATGATTTCAGTGAGTGTGAGTTACTCGACGAGAAAACTCACACAGGGAAAAGGTCGTATGAAAATGATGAAAAAGAGAAATCCCACATTCACAAGGATGACTTACCTCAACATCAGAAGAAGTCAGCCTTGGAGCCACTTCTTGGATGTAATAATTGTGAGAACACCTTTTATAAAGAGACAGTCTCTGTTGCAGGTCAGAGTATTCAGGCCGGAGAGAAAGTCTCTGAGGAGGATAAATCTGGACAGGCCTTCAGCCAAAAGTTAAGGCTCAGTGCTTGTCCAAGAACACTTAGGGACAGGAAACCACGTGAATCCAGTAAAAATGGGAAATCCCCATCCAGGAAGACAGAATACACACAACAGGAAACTCTCACGGGCGATAAGCATGAATGTGATGCATTTGGGAAAGCCTTTCCCAAGGCATCAAACCTCACTCGACATCAGAGGAGACCCATAGACAACAAACCTGAGGCAGAGGGTGGACCTGATACATCCCTGCAGAAGCCGTTCCACACCCCACCTGGGAGGACCCGCGCAGGAGAGAAAACCTTGGAGTGTCATGAACTTGAAAACGCCTTCCACGAAAAGTCAGCCCTTCCTCAACATCCAAGAGTCCGTGCCACAGAAAACCTCCGGGAACGGGATGATGGGGTTGGCACAGCTAAGGAGTCACACCCCATTAGCCCTCAGAGCAATAACACCCGAGAGGGAAGCTTTAAAGGCCGTAAACGTGATGAGCCCTCTGCTGAGAAGTCAAAACGCTTTCCGCAACAGAGAAAACGCAGGGTAAGGGATCCCAACGAGTGTGGGAAGCCTGAGGAGAACTTAAGGGAGCTGCCAGCCCTCCCTCAGAATCCGAGAGCTCGGAGAGGAAAGAAAACCTACGACTGCAACAAATGCGAGAAGATCTTCCACAAGAAAATGCTGCTTTCCCAGCACCAGACCATGCACACGGGGAAGAAGCCCTACGAGTGTAATGAATGCGACAAGTCCTTCTCTGTGAAGTCCAACCTCACGGAACATCAGCGGACCCACACGGGAGAGAAACCGTATGAATGTAATGAATGCGGGAAGTCTTTCTGTCAGAAGTCAGCCCTCACGGTGCACCAGAGAACTCACACGGGGGAGAAACCGTACCGATGTAATGAGTGTGGGAAAACCTTCTGTGTGAAATCAAACCTAACTCAGCATCAAAGGACCCACACGGGAGAGAAGCCCTATAAATGTGACAAGTGCTGGAGATCGTTCTGTGTGAAATCTAACCTCGTGGTCCACCAGAGGACGCACACCGGGGAGAAACCCTACAAATGTCCCGAATGTGAGAAAACTTTCTATGAAAAGTCAGCCCTCACCAAACATCAGAGGATTCACACCGGGGAGAAACCCTATGAGTGTAATGAATGTCAAAAGACCTTCAGCCAGAGGTCGGCGCTCACCAAACATCAGAGGAAAACACATAAGAGGAAAACTCCCCCGAAGGCTCTCCAGGAGCAAAAGGCCACATCCACCAGCCAGACCCATGGAACTTCAGCTAAATCTCAAGGGACGCAAGGGACAAAGCCTTCATCCGTCAGCGACAGCTAACTGAAATGGGACGATTAGTCTAGAACTGAGGTCCTTTGTGGAGAAAAAGAAAATGTCAACTCAGATTCAAAACTATTGAGGAGAAGTAGGTAATTTTTAGAAATACGGATTAAAATGTTGAAGAGCTTCTCACTCAAAGTCATATTTAGATGTGCTTCCAGATGTACTGCAGGGGTGAAAAAAATCAGGTGTTGTTCTTAGTAGCGTGTGCGCTGCCAAGCTTTTGTAAATGCATGGGATAATTTGTCATGGACATGAGAACATTAAACAGGTATGTGGAAATCTTCTGAGGTACATTGCACCAGGGATTGGTATGGCGTGCATGAGAGTGCTATATATATATATATATATATATATATATATATATATATGGCTGGAGCGATAGCACAGCGGGTAGGGCGTTCGCCTTACACGCGGCCAACATGGCCGACCCGAGTTCGATTCCTCCGCCCCTCTCGGAGAGCCCGGCAAGCTACCGAGAGTATTCGATATGCCAGACACAGTAACAACAAAGTCTCCAATGGAGACGTTACTGGGCCCGCTCGAGCAAATCGATGATCAACGGGAGGGCCTTTACCTTTACCTTTACCTATATATATATCATGAACTATGAGTGTGTTGGGTTGGATGCATTTAGAGAAACCCACCACAGAATCTCAGAAAGCACAGGATACATCATAAATGAAAACCAAGTTATTATGTAGCGCTGTAGCACTGTCCTCCTGTTGTTCATCAATTTGCTCAAGCGGGCACCAGTAACATCTCCATTGTGAGACTTGTTGTTACTGTTTATATCGAATACACCACAGGGAGCTTGTCAGGCTCTGCCGTGTGTGCGGGTGGGATGGTCTCAGTAGCTTGCCGGGCTCTCTGAGAGGGATGGAGGAATCGAACCTGCGTCGGCTGCGTGCCAGGCAAACGCCCTACCCGCTGTGCTATCGCTCCAGCCCAGTTGTATAGCACTTGGACCAAAAGCTCCACTTCTAGATATATACTACCCTAAAACAACAGTTCTCAAAAGTATCCTAAAGTGTGTTGGGGATGAAAGTAAGAAAATATTTGATACGGGGATCATTTGTCACTCTGGCAGGTCACAGGCATTTGATGAGTGCAAAAGCCGAAGTTAGTTCTGTGCAGTGTCAATAAAAGATCAGAATGAAGAGACTCGGCCATTGTGCCGGTAGCGCTCTCAGAGAAAACCCCGCCCTAGAGAAACCTCCAGGCTTGTACCCACAGACACATGCAGGAACATCCACTGAGCATTGTAGCAATTGTGGAAATGATTTAGCAAAGTAATGAAAAAGCCATTAATGATATATTAAGTAAAAAGTTGGTCTGACCATATAGATATACACCAATGAAAATAAATTTTATTCTATCTTAGAGCAATGATGTCGGACAAAAGGGGGAAATAAAGATGTCGTGTTATTGCATTTATATAAAGAGCAAAAACAATTCCACAGTAGCTATATAAACAATAAAATGCAACCGAAAATGGATTGTTACCACAAAAATATAGAATAGTTATTGCATCATGGAGCACTGAGGTCCCTATACTTAGAAAAAGAGTAAACTTCATATTTCTTTTACCCCTCAGGGGACCTGAGGTTAAAATAAGTGGTGCTGGAAATTAAACTTGGGCCTCTAACCTGCAGTGCGTGGGCTCAGTTCATTGAGCTCAACCATCCCACTCTTTCTGTCTCTCTATCTCTCTGTGTCTCTGTGTCTGTCTCTGTCTCTGTCTGTCTGTCTCTGTCTCTGTCTCTCTGGCCCAATTTCAAATTCTTAAAAGAATCATGAGTATACAGGTGTTCCTTTTGTTATTTTTCTTACTCTGACACTGTTAAGCTCAGGATTCTGAGCTCCCAAGTGGCAAGACAGACAGAGACACAAACACAATAATGCAAAAGCAGTAGGAGTTTAATTCCAGTATACTGGGGTCAACAATCTCACCCACAGCGTGGTCTCTCGATAGCGACCCCGACTTCAGGCAGCAAGCAGTTTTTATAGGGTTTGATGACATAGGCAGTCCATGCCTTATTGTTTCAAAAAGAATCTAACTTAGTTACCAAACAAAGGTGGTTGGGCAAGTGTCTAGGGTAACAGTGGTCAGGCAACAATTAAACAATAATTTCCAGTATCAATACCAATTTTGTGATTACATAGAATTCTCATTCTTTCAGAGTTAACAAAAAGCAACTTCTGGGGCATTGTGAGAATTGAGTCCACTTTCTGAGCCTAGAAACTTTCCCAGGTGGATTCAGGTTGGCTAGTTACACATGTTTCATTGCTGGGAAGCTGAATCTGTTTTAGTTCCCATAACCGAACCTTAGGCCCACCTGATTTTTCTCATTTCTGCCACCTTGTCAAAGCTGCACTCTGGCTTGGTCATGTATACATATATATGTAAAGAAACTTTTACATTTTTTTTCGCTTTTTGGGTCACACCTGGCGATGCAGGGGTTACTCCTGGCTCTGCACTCAGGAATTACTCCTGACAGTGCTCAGGGGACCATATGGGATGCTGGGAATCGAACCTGGGTCGGCCGCATGCAAGGCAAACGCCCTACCCGCTGTGCTATCTCTCCAGCCCTGAAACTTTTACATTGTCAAGAAACAGACTTGAAATGACAGCATTAGAGTGTCAGCCATCATTTCCCTTGCAAAGTCAACCTAGGTTTGGACCCCAGCACCCCATATGATCCCCTGGGCCCACTGGGGATGATCACTGAGCACAGTACCAGGAGTAAGCCCTGAGCATTACCAGATGTGAACCCCCAAAACCAAAAACAAAGCATATTAGCCACAACAATGTTTGAGTGCCAATCACTGTCAAGATTGGTCTCTCAATGTCTAGTTTCCTGATTTCAAAACCTCCACAACAATCGTCCCAAATGTCTGTCACTTGACTCTAACCTTGAATTTCTTGATCCTATATCCCCTTTATTACCTTATGTGTCCTCATTTTTTTAATAATAAACTGAACATTGACCAAAATATAAAGTGGAAAAGAAAACCAACGTTCTGTAAAGACTAGACAAGATTTTAAACTTTGGGTGTTTGAGCAATAGCACCGTGGGTAGGGCGTTTGCCTTGCACGCGGTCAACCCAGGTTCGACCTCTGGTCCTCCCGAGCACCGCCAGGAGTAATTCCTGAGTGCAGAGCCAGGAGGAACCCCTGTGCATCGACAGGTGTGACCCAAGAGACAAAAAAAATTTAAAAAAAAATAAAATTTCACCACAAATAGTATGAACCATTGAAATCACACATCAAAAGCAGAGAAGTCTATTCGTAGGTGACAGAAAGGCGAATTCTGGAGCAGGGAGATAGTACAACCATGTGGGCGCGTGTCTGATCTGTGCCAGACGGGGGTTCAATTTCCAGCACCCCACAGACCCCAAGCACTGTCGGGCTGGAGCAGCAGCGGCATCTCCTCAGGACCCCTGCATTGAACCCCAGGCCCAGTTACTGAGAGGCTCTCCCTGGCCTCCTCCAAGACCCTCCCAGGCCCAGTAACGTCTCCATTGTGAGACTTGTTGTTACTGTGCTTGGCATATTGAATACGTCACGGGGAGCTTGCCAGGCTTTGCCGTGCAGGCGAGATACTCTCAGTACCTTGCTGGGCTCTCCAAGAGGGGCAGAGGAATCGAACCTGGGTCAACCGGGTCGGTCTCATGCAAGGAAAATGCCTTACCCACTGTGCTATCACTCCAGTCCATATATATATATATATATATATATATATATATATATATATATAATCAGGTGATAAAGGAAACTGGAAAGAAATAGAACTGGGGGCAAATGTGGGTTTTTTGGTGGGTTTTTGTCTTTTTTTTTCTTTTTGGGTCACACCTTGCGTTGCACAGGGGTTCCTCCTGGCTCTGCACTCAGAAATTACTCCTGGTGGTGTTTGGGGGAACCATATGGAATGCTGGGAATCGAACCCAGGTCAGCTGCATGCAAGGCAAATGCCCTCCCCACTGTGCTATCGGTCCAGCCCCCGCAAATAAGTCTTTTAACCGTCATTCACGGCCCAAGTCCTGTGATTACGCGTGTGGAACCCAAGCGTGTTCTTAACCATGAGCTATTCTTCAGCCTCTCCTAAAAATATGGTCGTGTTGGGAAATCTGAGGAAATCTCCATATGAAAATGCACCCAGACGCTGGGCTTTGCTGCCCTAAACTAATGCCTTTAACCTTTCACGGTCAGTGGATTCGCAGGAAGCTCTGGAAAGGGCAGAGAAGGGAAGAGACTTTCAGGCGTGTCTCCTTCTGATTGATGGATGGTGCTCCCCCGGCTGTCATTCCTAAGGAGGGAGCTTTGAAAGCTCTTTGTTTTGACTTCATTGGGAATGATGGACCGGCTGCTGAGAGTGGGCAGCTTGAGTTCTAACCTTGACATTGCCTGTAGTCTGTCTTGATTCATCTTTAGAACGAAGGGGCAGATTCATATAACATCATCGTCTGTCTGAGCTTCTATAACAGTCGACAGAGTGAGTTATAAACGGCAAAGATTTCTAACGGTTCTGGAGCCTGAAGAGCCAGAGACCAGAGCAAGCACAATCAGTGGCCACTGAGGTCCCACTGTCTCCTCACGAGGTGACCGTGACGGGGTGGGGAGGAGCCAGGCTATGGGGCCTCCTCATTCCTGAGGGCTGCACCCACAGATCTCATCACCTCCTCAGACCATGACCTGGGGGGGGGGGTTGGAATTCAGCGTGTGAGATTTACGGGAGCACAGAAAGATCAGTCCACATTCTTACCATGCTCTTCCAGCATTATCTTTCTGAATAATTCATTAAAGGGCAAAAAGCCAAAGATGAGGCTCTAGGAAGTATGAGAAGGGCTGGGGGAACAGGATGGCAGGGAAGGGGTTGCCTTGCACGTGGCCAATCTGGGTTCAATCCCTGACACCGCATTTGACCCCTCTGAGCCCTGCTGGAAGTGGCCGTGGAGTGCAAAGCCAGCAGTCAGCCCTGAATACAGCTGTGTGTGCCAAAAACCCAAGGGAGGGAGGGA